CTCTTTGCAACAAAGATTTATTTAATTCCTTCCTCGAAACCTTTGCAATTCGAATTGAAAGAAGCTCTAAGAATCGAAATCCACCTCTAAAATTCGAAGATTTGTTAACCCTTTGGGATACGAAACGCCTAGATTCCACATTGTTCCCCAATGGTATTTAATTTATTGTTTGAACCAGCGAAGGGATCATCGTCGATAACTCACGACGAAAGAACACTATTCGTCTCTCGCGGGCAACTGCTAATTTAGCCACTGACTCGAAATAGAACGTTTCATCCGCGGGGCGAAGAATAGCTATTTCCGGGGTTGAGTAATAGCCCCATTTATGCGTTTCTTATCGCTGCAAAGTATTTGCCACTATTTCTCTATTTACCCCGCGTAGGTATCTCGGATCTCGCGCGACTACGTCGATTCCTTCTACGGCATTACGTAGTTCCAGCATGTAATACCCACCCGGTTGAGGCTGGCTGCAACTCACAGTATATCTTAGACATCGATACGACTACACGAGAGCCTTCTCCATTCGCCTTCTACCCGACATAAAGGAGATTTCATATAAAGGACACCAATCTCCAGGGGATAAGTCTAAATGTACATAGACTTCTTTCAGTACGAAGACGTCGCATTCAATTAGAAAGCAGGCTTCTCGCAAAATTGCAAAGGACTTTGCGCGATCCTTCGATGCACGACGGCCGACACCGGGGCCAGTTTCATTATCTCGTTCTCTTTCCGTCCACGGAACACGCAATGAAATTTTCTACGACCGGACCAGGGAGCACGTAGCGACAATAGAAGTAGCGTGCGAATTGTTCGACGTCGACCTTCCTATTGATTTCCACCTGCGTCGATTTAACTCGACCTGCCCTCCTACTACACCCCCGCCCGCTTCTATTCCAGCCACGACCGCACAATTATTGCGTAACGCTGTTGCAGCCTCGACGAAGACAAATAACACGGTAATAACTCCGTGAATATCGCGGTCGCCGCGAAAAACATCACCCCAATTCCGGCGAAGTTTGCGAGTTGGCGAACCGATTGGTTCCGTTGTTGAGTCTCTGGTGGATCGATCTGATTTATGACGCGTTCGATGATTCGCAGGCGCGAAAACTCTGAAGTTGATCTTGAGAGATCCACTAACACGTTCCATTTTGGGGAAAAACATTAAAGGTGCCAGATTATGGGGGGTTTGAAGATGTTTGAATTGGAAGACATTATTAGGAAATAGTGGACGGATCTATCTGTTGAAGAAGTCTTCCATTCTTCCACTATGGGGCCTCAAAAACTTTTGCAAAAACTGTTGGATCGATGGAAAAGCTCTTTGTCTCCTTGTTGAGTCTCTGGTGGATCGATCTGATTTATGACGCGTTCGATGATTCGTAGGCGTGAAGACTCTAAAGTTGATCTTGAGAGATCCACTAACACGTTCCATTTTGGGGAAAAACATTAAAGGTGTCAGATTATGGGGGGTTTGAAGATGTTTGGTCGGACCATTTTAGTGAGAGTCACTTGAACATTATTAGGAAATAGTGGACGAATCTATGTGTTGAAGAAGTCTTCCATTCTTCCACTATGGGGCCTCCAAATCTTTTGCAAAAACTTTCGGATCGATGGAAAAGCTCTTTGTCTCCTTCTGCTTTAGAAGTCAACGTTGTAAGTAAAAGTAAAGCAAATCTTTCTGGGGGAAACTTAATGTTCTTCATATTTCGTTTTCAAAGCAAGCCCTCCAACATGTGATGTATCTAATGAACAAAATAACATTTCAAATTCTGAACTAAACAATAATTTGGGGCTCTAAGAGGAAATTTCAACGGATATATTATAAGTTAGCCTTTCATGTATCGATCTGATTTATGACACTTTTTGTGACCTGAAAACTCAATACTTTCCACTTCAGAAAAAACACTAAAGGTGTCAGATCGTAGATGGTTCGAGGATGTTTGGTTGGACCATTTTAGTGAGAGAATGGAACAATTGTTAAGTTTATATTAAACTGTTAATTTGTTTGGAATATTAGCCATTATTTAGTTCTTTACCAGGGTGGTCCTTCGAACACTTTTCAGTATGGAACTAACAAAACTAATTCTCCAGTTCAGATGTTGAACGACATAATCAGGGCTGGGAAAAATTTGGAATAATTTAATACAAAATAGTAAACGTTGGAATATTTAAGTAAATACTATTTCATTAAATGTTTAAATCACGAGAAAATGCTATTTGCTCCTTGCACTCGAATTCAAATACAGAAAATAAGACATACAAAAAAAACTAAACATATTTCGCAACTGTCACTCGCAATCTTCTATTCAAATAAATATTTCTGAACGTAGACGTTTCATGTTATCGACACAAGTACATGATTCTATGAAAAGTTAAAAGACAAAAACCTCTTATTTGCGATACTATTAGTTGCAAAACCATTATTCCAAACACTATAATGTAAAATATTACCACATCATGAAATACTCATTTCACAATACTATTTCCACACGTAATTGCACACATGGAAAGATAAAAATATTTACATTCTATTTACTATTTCATATTTACTCTTTTCCCACAGCCCTTGCAATAATTCTGTCCAGAATTAATGACTTCCAGTGAGTTTGCAGGAATGATGTATGTCAAATTTTAAGTTACGCAGATTACAATCGCCCAAAGCCAAAAGGTTCTCGTGAAAGATTGCACGAGGTCTGGCAGCCGGGGCGCGAAACGTTCCTCAAATTATCCACCGCTCGAAGACGGTGAAATTTTTACGGTCGCCTCTTCGTCTATCACGGAAGCGCGCCCGGACACTATTCGAGGCGAAGCTATTCGTTTGCCTGTCGTTCGGTACATGTAAACTCACTTTCCGGTTTTTCGACGAGCGATATCACCCGCGACGGCGAAACAGCTTTCAATGCGCGTTGCTTGCAAAACCGTAATATTTTTCTACGCGTACGTGACGATGAACAAACGGCCAGCATCTCGTAAGATTGGATGGGGCGAAACAGGATCGCAGCGAACTTCCCGCTCTGATTTTTCGTTGCGCGAATAACGACGCTTTAATGGCATCCATTGTTGCCCGCGCTACGCTCCCTTTTGTAACCCGTATCTCCCGTTCCAGATTTTAAATCACGATCACGAATTGTTATCGTTCGTTGTATCGCGTAATGTATCTCGATGATATTAATGCCAACGCATACCGACCCTCCCCCGTAACCCTTTCAACCCCTTTTCCAACCCCCTCCTACAGTCGCTATCGCGCCCGTCGAGCTAATTGCGCGTGACACGGAATGTTTACCGACAAAACATATAGCCGGGCATCGAAGTTGTGAAAACGGGGCTTAATGAAATGGTACGCTACACACTTTCCGCCCTGATAAATAAAACTTTTGTTGCCGCTTCGTATTTATGAGACAACAGGACACTTGTGCATTACGGTACTTCGTTACGATGCATTAATTTATAACGAACCATTCTTGTCTTACTCCCTCTCTCCACTGTTTTGTCAACTGCAGCGCGCCAACAACGTTGTTCAAAATGAACAGTTTCTTTTAAGGGAAATATATTTCAATGCATTTATTTCAAAATATTTTTCTTCATATTATTATGCTATTCGTAAAATTTAGAAGCTCTTCACAGGGTAAAGTCTTGTCTTACCCCCTCTTTTCTTTGTTCTGTCAACTACAGGGCGTCAACGATGCAAAAAGTTATTTAAAATAGACAGTTTCTTTTAAGGGAAATATATTTCAATCCAGTTACTTCAAAATATTTTTCCTCGTATTATTATAGCATTCTTAAAATACTGAAGTTCGCGACAACGTAATTAGAAGCTCTTCACAGGGTAAATTTTAAGTAAATTACGTTAATTAGATTTTGCAAACTGAAAGTAGAACTCAGAACTAGGTGAAAAAATACATCCAGATTTCAAAATGCCAAGTAAAATCACGGAGCTTCATCCCTCGATAACCACGTGCGATATTTATTATTGACAGAAGGGTTGAACGCGTTCCCTCGAAGCCATAATTCAGCCAAAAATCCAACGAACGGATTGCGTGATCGGTTAAATCTGAACAGAAGCTAACGCAATATTGGCAAGACATCCTCGGTTAACAAAGTAAAACACAAACACTTTGCTTCATAACTTTCAAACTTCTCGGGCTAAACGAAAGGGACTCGATTCTCCTTCGACTTTTTCCCAGCCACCTCGCGTTCCTCTTTTTTTTCTTCCCTGGAAAATCACGTTACAGATCCTCCGGGGGTCCCTTCTGTTGTTTTCTGTTCGCTTTTGTGCGAATCCCCCCCCCCCCCTCATCCGCCCGAGAATAAAGCAAAAACATCCACGAGAATCCGGCACTGCATGGGATATAATGAAAGTAATTAGCATGTTATCGTGGACCATAAAAGCCTCGGTCGTTAACAATGCGCCCCCGGGAAATAGTTGAAGAACTTAAAAAAATCTCGCATCGCCCCGACCCTTCAGATTTTAATCCCATTTCATCCCGCGGTTTCCCGAATAAACCTTCTGTTAGGATCTGCCTGTGGGAAACCCCTCCACGAATCCCAAGTCCTCTCGACTACTCCTTACTTCAATTAAATCTTTCGTTCGACCTCCCGTTCCACGCCCCCGGCCCCCTTCTCTTCCCAGCCTCTTGTACGTGTCTTCTTCGCTGTCCCCGTTCCGTAATCATAATAGCGGCGCAAATTAAATGTACCGCGAGTGAATAATTTTCGTCGATGCGAGAGATCGGTAGCCGCGGAGACGTTTAATTCGCGCAAAGCAGCTTCCGCGAGACGATTCTTTCCCGGGTGGAAGCCGTCTGTCTGGCTCTCCGTCTCTCACCGTGCCGGTTCCGCCCCTCGACTACCACCGGAATCCCCCAAAGGCCACCCTTTCAGGTATTACGTTGATATGATAATAACTTTTCCGCACTCCCGGGACCAGAGATCGGTCTGAGCCCCCCGTCAGGATAATGCTTTTTCAAAAACTTTCTGAAGAATGGTTCCGCGACAAATCTCACCACTCCATCCCCGAGATTATGGACGACGCAGGGCAGCATGGCCGTGGATCCGGACTGGGCGGAGATCATCGTCGAGTTCGTGGTATTAAAGGTCATCGGTATGGTCGGCGACAGGTCGATGTCCAGCGGTTTCCCGGTGATGCCTGCGTCCAGCGAGTTCACGTTCGCGGTGACTATCTCCGCGGTGACCGCCGTCGGACAATCTGAAAAACAGGCATTCGAATTTGTGGGAAATGTTGGAACCAGTGTGTCTAACGCTAGATTTACTTTCTATTTTTCGATATTTCTTTCAACGGGTTGTCTGCCAGGGACCGAATCACGCGTAAACGGAACTTTGGTTTTAGATAATTGGAAACTAGCATACCCACAATTTGTCGTAGAACTTATTTTTACAGCCTCGTTAAAATTCAAAAGTCAAGCTAGATTTTGTTAAACTAGAGACTAGTTATTGTTGTAGCAAGGAAATTTCCTATTAATACGTTCTTTCCCAAGCTACTTTTGACCAAGTGTCTGCAAAATTTACCTATTCTCTATTGTTATTGTTACGCATCCCATCGAATGGCTTTGTAGACATAGATCCAAGATTCCAAACTCTAAAAAGATACGAAAAGTAATCGATTTCTGCGACGTGAATTACTAGATGACCTTCTTAATACGTTAATTGCCAGGCCAAACCCCTCAAATTGCCCACAAAAAAGGAAATTTTGGTTTTAGAAATTTGGAAAGTAGCATATCCACAATTTGTCGTAGAACTTATTTTTACAGCCTCGTTAAAATTCAAGAGTCATGTCTAGATTTATTTTCTTTAACATTCTTTTTTGCTCTTCAATGAAAAATGAATATGACAACTACAAAAATTAATTAAACATGGCCGCCAAGATGGTGGCCGCGACACACCGCGCCAAAACTGAAGCGCCATCTGCTCGTAGGGACCGTCGAGGCCCGTTTACGATGGACGAGAGAACCGATGCTTATGAACCGCGTATATTCAAACACGATCAAACGAATCGTTACGAGGTCGAACAAGATTTAAGCGGCCGGTAGCGCGAAACTGCTGGGTCCTCGTTAAGAGGCTTTCCTCTGGACTTTACTTAACCCCTTTCTGCTCGGCTATCGCCCCATTCAAATATTTATACGCGCCTCGTCCCGGACGAGGGAGATTGTCAGAACGACCATTTCTTTCTCCTCGTATTTATTCCCCGCTTTTGCGAGGAGCGCGAGGCGAAAGAAACATCGCAGGGCAACCTCATTGAGTTTTTTTAAACGCGTCAAGGAGGCAGTCCACGGTGAAACGAGACAGCACAAACGCCCGATGAAACGGATCAAATGTTAATATTGACAGTCGATGAACGAAGGTGTCTGTTGTCTCGTCTTACTTGTTATTTTTTCTTTTTTTAACCGTAGTATGCTTTCTATTGGGATTCCGTGCATATGTTTGCTGATGTCTCGTGTACACACGGTATTTTTTTCGAGGAAAAATAATGAAAATTGGAAGAGTTACAGTTCATCGAGGAAAGACTTCAAGAAAAAGTGTACCGATGGCTGACACGACTCTCGAGGCAATTTTCAAATGAGCAATATGCAGATATTATAGATGTGTATGAATGTCAAATCGATGTAGGAGGTGATCATTTTGAAATGATATAAAAATTATCTATAACTTTGTAATAAATCATTTACAAGCAAACTACATATATATTGTCATTAAAGTAGGAGACAAGTTGTATATTTTAATCTATGTTTCATTAACATTATTTATAATGATAAGTACAGTATTGCAATATTACGATATCAGATTCCAAAGATTCAAGAATGCTGTGAACTGTCTACGCGGAAGTAACCCCTTTAAAAGAATGCGGGTGGTTATGTGGTCGTTCGATGACCTAGTCCATTTGGCACCTTAGGCATTTGCCCCATTGCCAATGCTTAATTACGACACTGCATAGATGCATCATACTTTGAGTGCTACTCCAAATATGCATTTTTGAAACTTCCCGCGTAAACAGGATGTCATACGTTTGTAACGATCGTCGATCAATAACAGCCAATTACTGATAATTACGTATAAAACTGCACAAAAATATATACGAGACACCAGAACATGTTGATATATTTTTCAGTTCTCAATTTACATAATTTTTGTTGTCAATTAATTACAAATATGGAACTTGTCGTAAAGATACATTACATAATACATAAGATATATTGATCGTAAGAAACGAGCAGCTTTTAATGATATTTACATTTGTCATTTTGCATATGTTGTATATATCCAGCTTATACAAAACTTACAAATTAGTTCGAGCAAGTCTCCGAACTCGCTGAATCTCGCTGCTGGAAACAATAAGAACTCTAGTAACGAGAGTTTCGTTCGTCGTGCTCGTTGAGTAAATACACGTTAAATCGGTGCAAAGACCAAGTTAACATCGTTATTTGCTATTTAACATTATATCTTTAACTTTAAACGGCTGATTCGAAGCATCTCGAGAAAAGAAATCTCGAGTGCCTCTGTTCACAACATTAACTTAGGGGTACCGAACAAGGAAGAAAACAATTAAAAAGATACACCAAGAATATCTAAAGAAAGTCAATTTCAAATTGATTTATGTCAACCAACGATCATCATCGAATCAAGTCGAATAAATCAACCATTTCCAAGTAGTATTTAAAAGGCAATTATGATCCAACCATCCGTTATATTTGAGCAAGAAAACAATTAAAAAGATACACCAAGAATATCTAAAGAAAGTCAATTTCAAATTGATTTATATCAACCAACGATTATCATCGAATCAAGTCGAATAAATCAGCCATTTTGAAGTACTGTTTAAGAGACAATTATAATCTAACATTGATCTTGAGCAAGTATCGCATACAATTGCGTTTGGATATCGATAAATGGGACTGCAGATCCGATCGGACGCAGGATTGCCAATGTAGCAGCAGGAAAAATGTGTAAAGATGAACGATCGGATCCTCGATAACTTGCGTGCAAACAATTTGAAAAAAACGAATTATGAAACTGTCGTTTGATTTATCAATACGGCGTTATGCCGTCGAAACGGATTTTATGGGCAAACGTTTGGCGGGGAAAAAGTAATGCTCCTTGTAACAGATGCCGCGATACACAGGGTGGACCAAATAAACAGCTACGAGCTACGATCGGATATATCGACTTCAATCTTTTCTCATTTAACACACTGGCTGCCATGTTCTTCGCGTACAGGACTTTTTGCTAGGAAAAAAATTATTTCTTAAAGTTAGATATTAAGATTCATGACTTTCGAGATTACAAAAATAATTAACACTACAATTTTAGATTTTGGGCGAAACAGGTTCGAAAAAACTCACTCGTACTTCATCGTTCGATAAATGATTTTTACACCGTGTATTTAATTTAACAATACTTGTTCGGTTTTCGAAAATTATAATAATAATAATTCGATAGATACTTGGAAGATACGAGAAAAATTTGTTACATGTTCAATTTGATTTATTGCCAATTGAAAATAGTAAAATAAAATGAGTAACTTTGGTTCTTAAATTAAACAAATATCTCTCATCGATAATGGTTATTGGAAAAAAAATACTTCTATGACTGTTATCTGCAACTGAGAGCACTTTAGCCAAGGAGATTTGCATAAGATGTCTTTGTTTGCCATCGATAAATAAACGAATATCGCCAGTGGAAAGTTTCCTTAAAATCACTCTTTTCAAGTGAAATTCTATAAAGAAGTATTATAATATTCCATCGCGCCACTCGAGCTAGTGTTAACTAAATGGCGTGCTTGGTTGAAAGAAGCTGTTTCATGCAATACGTCGCGAGGCAATTAACGAAATTGCTCAATCCTTTGATTACTGGTGATACTGTTTGAATTTCATCGACGCGGGAAATTCGGAAAGGCGAAACTTCCTTTGAACTTAGCCTATATAAAAACTCATTTTGAAACTTTTCCATTTAAGATCGAGGAACTGGAAACTGTGTTTAACAGAATCGATGAATCTGGGAATTGAAATGGACAAAAAATATCTTTAAAAGAGAATATAGGTTTCGCAAAAGTTTTTAAAAATATTACAAACTCTACAGAAATAAAATTTCAAGGTACCATTGGTGGAGAGTTAATTATGGTACAATAATATTGTGTAAATTTATCGTTTTCAACATTTAAACGTATTTCTCTCAAAAAACACAATTTACTTTAATTTATATTATGTCTGAACCATGAAGCATGTGATACAATTTCTATGATATACTTTATCCATTTACAAGTGTTTCATGCTCGCATAAAGCTTCTCAATTTAACAACGGGAGTAAATATCGCGACACAATTGAAAAATTTTATGGACCTCGGAGGCGAATAGTGTATGCCAAACGGTTTGGAACGACGACCGTTGGGCATGACAAAAGAGTCTAAATACAGCATTCAGCGACGAAACGATGTTAAAGGAGAAGAAGTTGCATTGTAGGATTTCCCCTATAGCTAACTAAGAATAAGAATGATCAAAATTCTGTTACATCTCTTCAGGAACATTAAACGCGTTTCTCTGCAAACGATATTTCTCGAAGCGGTTAACATGATTTCGCGAAACCTGATCGACGAAAAGAAGATTTATGTAAAATATCTTTCAATCGAGCACTTCTATTAGCCATTAATGTGGAAAAGTTTTACCAAAGAGAGAATTTTCTTAAAACATTTAATAATCTAAATCTCGATAAGATACGTATCAATAATGAAGCAAAGTTTCAAATTAACATCTTAAATTTTCGTTTTATAAAATTCCAAAGATGTCCTAATTTTGTTCGTAGTAAACGGATATTTTCTTTACACTTCCTGGACGCCTCAGATATTAAAAACGCGTTTCTAAATTATTAGATTAAAATTCGAAAAATTGCCGCACTTATGGAAAATGAAGGCTCCAGCGGAGGTGCTTGCTGAACCACTCAACGCTCTACTCTAAGTAGACATACTCGAGTAAATACATATTGCATTTTCCCACAAATCTCACTTAAGCCAAAAATTCGGAAGTGTGATCGTTATTAAAGCTACCAAGAGGAAACAAATAGAATTATAAATAAACTGGGAATTAAATATTTTTATGGTATTTTTAAATATCTTTATCAACTTCGAAGGAAGTGAAACGACCAACAATTCAAAACATGGGTGATTCAATTTATTTATTAATATTCTTACTAGTGTTTAGT